TAATTTAAGCCATTATTATCCCTGGTTTTCTTTTCAGCGTAATCAAACATAAAAATCAAAATTTATCAAAGCATATTTGTGAAAAATTAATCTTTTTTCCAACCCATAACACCACCAACAAGATTCTCAAATAAATTTTTTTAAATAAATGACAACCAATAAATTTTTGCCGAATTTTCTTCTACATTAACTCAGTCTGAATGAATTATTCGTAAAGATGAATAAGAACAACAAGAAAGCATAAAATTTGTAAACAAACAAAACTTTTATGCGGAATCGTAAACAAATCCTTGTTTTTGTTTGGTTTATTAAAAACAAACACATCTTAAAAAGTGACGCATGATATTATGACTGGCATTGCTTCGCGTTAAACAAGAGAAGGCTCTCTAAGAGCTTAAGCGGATACACAGATTGTCCCATAAAATCTGCAATAAATTTTAGAGATATATCCCTTATTTCCTGATAGCTTTTGTTTTGCACTGTTACATGTGTGGTCATATATTAAATAATTTTTAAATAATATGTAAATATTATATGCAAACTTGAATATACAGTTTGTTAACCGATACGTTATATTATTCTTCTTGATCATGTTCGCGGTCTTCACACTTAATAAACTTTTAAGTGAACGCCCATGGTTCGAATCACATTCAGTCATTGAATACAAGATGATTAACTTTTTGTAAAACTTTGGTCATATTGTTTACCTGCATAATTCGGTCCTTAATAGGTAAGTTTTTGTAAAAAAAAAATTTTAATGTTGTATTTTATGTTGCGCATACATACAAAAAAAAAGTACAATAATTTATTGCCCATTATCGCAATTAATTGCGCTTCAATCTTTATGGAAGTATAAAATATTTACAAATAGAAACCAAATAATCGACATAAAATTATCTTTGAAATCTTTTGTAGGCCGTTGAATTCAAAAAACTACAATACTTTTTTTTCTTATAAATAAAACCATATTGAACAGAGCAAATTTCGTTTACCATTCACCAAGCATTTTTTACATATTTCGATAAAAAAAATTCTTACACGTTACGTGAAACGAAATTCTGGACTACGTCCAACAATGAAGAATTTTTCAAGCGCCATGGGGAACTTAATAAATTCTCGACATTTAGTCGTACGAAATGTAGTAAATGTGAATTTAATATTAACTGCAATCATTTACTGGTCATTATTGTTAATAATAATTAATTGATTCTTTTAATAGCCTCCACTTTCTTCGAAAATATGGTCTATGTTTTGACGATTTTAATCCGAAAACATTTAATTTTCAAGTGAATAAAATTAATTTGAACAAGAGACATGTAAGAATTAACATCCGAATGAGGGGAGATAAATGCACAAGAAATTTGGAGATATTTACCGTTAATCTTCACTCTGACACAGATGTTTTCAAAATCTTGACTAGTAGATGCAAAAACTATCTGGGATGGTATTGCATTATGAACAGCAATAAGTATACCACGACCTTTTCAATAAAATCTCTCATGCCTAAATACCCGAAAATCAGCATAAAAAGTTCGAACTTAGTACGTCAGACTTAAACCACATTTTAATAGAAGCGAGCACGCGGTGGCGCGCTCCTCGACTCCAATAGAGTCAAAAAATGTCCTCACTAACTTTCTGTTGAGACTACACACGTTTTGATGAATCGGAAACACAGGGTTTAAATAAGATTTCGTATTTATTATATATATGGAGGTGAATGGTTGACCAAAAATCGAGGATCCTGCAAAACCGCGATTTCTAGGCTTTAATTGGTTATCAATTTTATGAAGCTACTGAGTAAGTTCTTTAAACATTATCTTGGCTAGAGAAATAATATAAATGCTTTCAGAGCTTTCTTACCCATCAGTAAATGGTTCAGATGTACACATAAGGGAGTATTTTGTGTCATATGTTGTTCAATGGTTGAGTTTTGGGACGAGTTGAGCACTTTTATTTTAGTTATACGCAGATCAAACTTAAAAGGTTTCCGTTTAAAAGACAAAAAGGTTTTTAACAGACATAGAATGGCTGCTCTTCAAACGATTGACTCGCCTGCTCTTACTAAACTTTCTCACAACCTTTTAATATGGTGAGCGTAAAATAATCGCTTCTCGTCTTTTAACACATGTACAGTTAATTCCAAGAAAACGTGACGACATTTTTTACTAACTACGCTGGCGATAAATTTCAAATATATACTCCTTCAATAAAAGAAGAGATGATCAATTGAAAACTCCAAAAATTGGTTCCTAATCTCAACTTAATCTAAAAAATAAGTGCATTTTATATAAGATTATCCTTCAACCTATTTGGACCTATGGCATACAACTGTGGGCTAATACTAATGTTGAAACATTACGAAAATATCAATTTAAGTCTCTTTGTTTCACTTTGCCCGTGCCTTCTGGCTTATTAGCATCGAAACTATTCATGATATTCTTTTTGTATCGTAAATTATTTTTATGAATTTTCTATGTTCATGTAGTCTCTTCTTATTTACTTAAATATCATGTCTGCGCTGCATTGTTTCCATAAGGAGACACATTTGTTCTGTATTTCTAATTAAAAACAAATTAAATGGGGTATATGGCAAAATGTTGTCTAAATAGAAAGCTAAAAATTCCCTCAAAACCGGATGAATTACTACAGACTTTTATTCTAAATATATGCACTCTGTTCTTCTACTGCATCACACTGCGTATACTTACCTTAATTTTTTCGCAATCTGGGCCGAGATGATGCTTTAATATTTATCTCTTGCTGCGCATATATTTCAACGAATTATTCAAAGGTATATCACACACATGCAATAAGAATTATTATGACTAAGCCATGACCGTTATGTTGATACCTTTACTTGCGTTTACTTATCTTTAACGCATTTATACGTCAGACTTGGTTTCCTCTTTTCTCACCGTCTCGTATGCAAGTAAAACACGTTTATAAAGCTTCCATTATTTTTATATAGCACTGCTAGTCTTCCACGTGCCATAAACTGTACCTTTTTTTCGGTATCTCTATCGGTATTTGTTCTATAGATGTAAATGAAAAGTTTATGCGCACGTTTACTTATCGGGTTTTTTTGTAAGAATTTTGCAGAATTGCACAGATTTCGTTTGCGGATAAAATTAGTATTAGAAAAATGAAATTTTTATATCTTACATTTACATTTGAATTCACTCAACAGATTTATTTTATGGACAGTAGCTGGTAGGTCAAAAAACTGTTTACGATAAAGAGTTTAACGAATTTGTTCAAATGCATGAAACTACCAATATTCCATTCAATCAAAATGAGACAACACTCTTTAGGAGGAGGAGTGGAAAATTTGCTAAGAAAATTCCTTCAAAGGCCGTTATTGAAAGTAAATTTTGTTGATAAATCATAGAAAGTTGCGAAAAATGTATTCCTTGAAACCTTTTAAATAACTGATTAAAATGAAGAATAAAAATATATTGTTTAAAAAAAAAAAATACATAGAAGGATTACGAGAACACGGACGCCAGGAAGAACACATAAATAAACATGTGATCATGTAAATGTGTAAGTGTAAATACACTCAAAGATCAGGGACCATTACCCATATCTAGTAAATACAAATGTAATCTATATTTTTCGAAAAGTTAAAGTGGAGTATTAAATGTGTTTACCTTCTTTAGTTTATTCTTGGATAAATTAAAAATTATTTAGTTTAATCAATTGGTTTTTTTGCTCTTCTCCTTTTCATCCATTTGTATATATATTATTATTACTTACACACTAATAATATCATTTTATTCCGTTATGTATATCTCGAATGAAACACTATTCTAGATTCGGCAGTAGTTGAATTATATAAGCTCGTACAGCGACACTACCGCCAATGAGTGTTCAATCGACTATGCACTCGATATCGAGAACCATAAATCAGACCCTAATCTAAAATATGTTTTGTCCTTAGAAGTCCCAATTGAAAATGTCTCTTTTTAATAATGATTAAAGAATATATTTAAACAATATATGCATACTGGTGCGTATCTTGACTTTTTAAAACTTCTAAACACCATACTACTCCACACCATGAACCAAACTTAACCAAAAACTTCGCAATGTAATTTTCAATGATATCTTTTACTGAATGTAAATTGAAAGTAAAAAATAAAAGGCGTATGAAATTGCCAAACAAGCATTATTGGACAAGTGAACCCTATTTCTTATATTCTTCAATTTTTTTTAATAATTCATCTGCATCCTCCTCCGTTTTGACACGTAACAATAGGGGGGTAAGTTTAGTACAGTCTGGAGTCGGAAAACAGAGCAGCATTACGTAATTTTTACCCATACGTTTGCACGTAAGTGTCGGCTGAGAATTAAATTTACTAAAACTACACCTAGACTATTATCTGCGCGCACCACCAACCTATCGAAAATCTTACTATTTTAGATAAAAAAACCAAAAAAAACTTCAAGAAATTGACGAACATATTGAAAAAAGCTAAATCTTAAATCTTCTGGCATTCGTTTTTAATTCATTCGTTGATTAAAAGAAAATAAACGTTGCTTACACAAACGCAAACTGGTTGCTGTGTGTTTACAGCAGTTTGCTGTTATGATTTAAGTACGTTATTGTTTACACATATTTTTGGTTGGTTGGTGATATACATACATAGTAACAAATACACATAGTCGTGGGAAGCATGCGAACGATATTTACGTTTGGTAGATTGAAGCGTACATAACAGGATACGTTTGGGTTTACGGACAATGATTTTTTGTATCTTCATTCAATAAACTGGTTGCAATTGTTAATTATATCTTCGACAGTTACTTACTTAAATGTGACTTAATCTTGAAAACACATTCTGGCTTTGTATCTTAGAAATTTCCTTCTATGAGGAGAATTCGTTTATGTTTGCCCTTTATGCTTTGCCGTCCAGCCGTTGACCACTATTCATTTTTCAATTTTAACAAAACCTAATGGTAATGGTAATATTTTTTTGTTTTTGACTCGTTTTTTGCAGAGTTGTCAACGTAAAACCGTCCGAACTGCTGTAAAATCAGCCCATAAGATACTCAGCAGCAGCAGAAACTATATTAGAAGTAGAACTAAAACAAGTAAACAGAAGCCATGAATAAGAAACGTGTTGCACATATAACTGTCATCAAATGACAAATGCATGACAGCATCAATCAGTATTTAACAAAACAACAAAGACAACCAGAAAATAAACAAAGCAATTATTTAGCCCAATATTACAAGGAAGACAGCAAAGTCGGTAGTCATAGCAACGGCAACATTAAGACAAACAAATTTATCCCAAGCATTTTCCAAATATTAAAAAGCATGGCTGGATTTAGAAGACGTGCTGGCCGTCATCGCACGCGTTCATGGTTTCTACTCAAGGATTCAGTCATATTTGTTATAATGATGTGTGCGTTGCAGGTATTCTCTGATAATTTAACATTCTACGTAGGCGCAGCACAAGCTCAACTAATAACAAATACCACAACCGGAACATTGGCGACGACAGTTGATCCAACTGAAACAACCAATAAAACCAAAGAGTTGCAAAATTTTACTGTAGATAATAAAAATGATAGACATTTAAGTAAAGCTACGAAGGAGAATAATTTAAAAGGTTTTAATACATATGAGAATTTACAACAGAAACAACAACAGCAACAAACAACTACAAAGATAATTTATGTAAATAAAGCCGCATTAAATGGTGACAAAGAAAATGGCGTTGATAGCAGTAAACATAAATTTAACGTTAACAACAGCAACGATAGCTATGATGGTTTTGTTAACAATACCGTTACTGCTACTGCTGCCAGCGGTCTCTCTAATATAACCCATAAAATTTTAGGTGTAGGGTTATCTGCAAATCATATGGGTATACGTGAAAACGTTGTGCTACCCTCAGAGGATCCCGAACGAGAAGCCCGCATTTTATATGAGAAGTCTTTAAAGGAATTTCATGATAATGTTGACTCAACTGCGACCACACATATTTTAGTGACAGCAAATGATAGCACTTATGAAACAGCCCAACGTACTGTTCATATGGTTTGCGATGTTTGGTCACAAAAGCATTGCCATTGTACAGGTACACTGGGACGTTTTTCGCTGAGTTGCCGCAATATTGGCATATTAGCGGTGCCAATGGATTTGCCCAGTGATACAGTTATCTTGTAAGTGGACAATTAAAAAAAAAATTTGAAAAAAAACAATCAAATAGTACCTAATACTCAAGTATAAATTAAATCGAGTAGCTGGACTAAAATTTTCAGAAAATAAATTTCTTGATTTTTAGGTACTTTGAAAACTGGTTTGTTTCGTTTTATTCTGCTAATAACCGAATAACATTTGTTGGAAAAAGATTAATACAAAAAATAATTGCGTTTATAATTGACACAAATGCAACTAACTATTTAAGGTAATTCTTCCCATCACCCTCGCATAAAGGAATGTACATTGTCAAATTCTTTTTGTAATATCCATTGGGTTCAGGTATTTTTGAACCGCGCAAGATTCTGCGTCCCTTTAGTCGCACACATCCAACACTTAGCATGTCTTCTTTAGTTTATATGTCTGTCTATCTGTCTGTTTGTTTCTCGTTTGTTCATGTAAGCAGTTGCAGCTTGGGATACAATTTTAATCCATGACCAGAGAGAAAGTGGAAAAATGGATGTAACGCACAGCTATAACAATTATTTCAAGAATTAAGCCTAAAATTTATGACGTACACTCACCGGGACCATTTAATAACACCGAAAGATGTGTGAGATACGGCAAATAAGCATGGTAAGCAACACGATATCCATTAGGATATTAAAATAAATCTTAGACAAACATTTCCTGGGGTCATCTATCTTCAATGTGCCTAGAAATAGAGATAAACTTCGCCAATTATAGTACACATAACCTACGGTAAAGATATACTAAGTTCATGCCCAGCTATATAACAGCGGAAAGAGCTTAAACTAGACCAACCTGACACTGTAGACGTTTCAGCATGTCTTATCCTTCTGTCTGTCTGCGCATCTTATGTCCGTCCTTGAATATGACCAAGATATTTTTATCAAATTTGGTACAGCGACACGTTTTGGCCCTTTGCAGAACTGTATCAAGTTGAAGTGGATGAAAACATTTTTACACGAACAAATATGTTATTCTTATCGTTTGCAAATTTGCAAAAGCATATTATAGGGCGTGAAAATTTAATTCTTTTACTTTTTTGTCGTTTTTAGCGTGACAGTGATGGGTACAAAAGATTCATTTACGACCAAATATAATTTTCTTGCTTGTTCAAAGTGAACCTATCCGACCGTACTCGTTCTGTACTTTTCAAATTATGTCATGTGCGTTTCAATAAGCGCTTTGGTTTGGCGTACATTCACCAGACAAAATTGCACTCCCTCGTTTCATTACGTGATTACGGTAGGTAGTGATAAGTCCAATGAGAGTTCATATATAAATTAAAGACAAAACATCTTGAACTTTTCATCGGTTAGTTGAGCATTATTATGTTTCGGATTTTTAAAATAATTTCTGGCCTTTGGGCTATCTGAATGCTGTTCATCACTTTTGCTCGAGTTGCCATTTTATCTCGACGAGCAGTTTCCCCATAGTGCCTTCTGAGCCTTGTTACAATTTTTAAGTAATTAACAAATGTAGCACAGTATGATCTTTTAAAACAATTAACCTTAAATTCGTTCCTTTTATTCGCTGCTGTTCCATGCATTTTCGAAAATTGGACAAAGCTCTAATCGTGAATGCGTCCGTTATGTACGGACTATACTGTTCTATACATAATGGTTTATTTAGGTATGAGCAGTTAATATTTCTTACATTTACTTTGCAACTTGGAGTCGCAGTACAGCCTTGCCATTAATAATATGTACCGATTAGCAACCAAAAGAACGTAACGTCCTTCGTAAGAGATTATTACATTCGCCAAGCCTTTGTAGTTAGCAGCTAGATCTACGCATGAAATTCTATATAGAAGTTAGTACTGTTACTATTGAATCTACCAACAGAGAGTTGATTAATTCGCTTCAAACGATAGCACATATACAAATGAATTAAATAAATAAAATTAAATAGTAAATAAAAAAGATCTGGACAATCAATACTTTTTGTACCCTATACACCGTGTTTCTTTGTCCCTTGATTAGTAGTTAAGCACATTTTGGACATAGCAACAAACTTTCTGACCGAGATGATCGTTTAATAGTGAAATTAAAATCCCTTTAAAAGATTTTGGTTTGTTATAATTTAAAGCACCTTCACCTTGGCGGATATTTCGGAAGTTGTCTTCTTCAGGAACGCCATTACTACAATTTGTTAATATTTTAAACTCTTTATCAACCACGATTTGCACGCTTTATGCTTTACTTACGCTTTAACCCACTTTGAATGTCTTTCTAGCTTTTCCTGTTGTTCAATTTTCCTGTTGTTCCATGTAGCTCATAAATCCTTATTTGAATGGTATTTATTAGCCTCAAAATATTAAAGAGACTCTCATAACTAACATACAAACAACAGTAAAAACAAACCAAAAACGAGCGAACAGTTGCTTTGCACTCGCGCGCTTTATAAATACCTTCTTTACATTGATAAACTGCAGTGGACTGTGAAAGAAGAACAGTGGAGTATAAATAACTTTTGCACTTAATACTAAAGGGTAGGCGTCTACACGTTTCGTCATTCCTTTTGTGACAGTTGATAAGATGCATGAAGGGTCCATAAATAGTGATTGCATAAGGCCTTAGGTTGATAGTATCGCCCAAGTTTGTTCAACTTACAAGTTTAAAATAAGCAAGGAAAAATTATCTTAAACCTTAAAAAATCGTTAACAAAAAGAAAAATTTACACTTATTACTGCATATTCGTCTAAAAGAAAAAAAGTTAAAAATTTGAAAACTTTTTATCAGTAAAATGCAACTTTGAACAAATATCGAACACGTGTTAAGTAATTTATAAAATAGAGTGACATATATTTTGAATCCACTGTTTAAACTGGCACGGACCCACAAAATTCATGTAAAAAGTTATATATAAAGCGACATTATAAATTCAGTTGGAAATATTGTTGCCAGGCAATATCGAAAACATCGAAAAAGCACCTAAATATTTCTGTATTTCTTCTTTAGCACTTATTCGCGGTATATGTCGGGGATATTTATAATCAGGGATATTTATGGTCTGCGATATTTATAGTCGGGGATTTTTATAGTCTGGAATATTTGTGGTCGGGGAAAATGCTATTTACTACGCTATATAATATGTTATTATTGTTATTACGGTATATTGCATTGAATACGTATAATGAAACCAATCGTTAACTTTATTAAGAACGCATGCAATACAGAGGAATTCTTTGTGATGGTACGCATCTAAAATTCTTCTTCAATCTAATATAAATTCTCCTTTACTTCAATTGTTTTTCACAAGTTTCACTAATTTTTTTTATTTGAACACATTTCTCATCACAACTGCTGCAGGAAAAATTTCATTGAGCGTAATAAAATTTTAATATAGTAAAATTATTCAATATTTATTAGCGTTTTTTTGTTCATTTTTTAATGTTTGTTTTTTCCTTATGATTTTTTCTGAATTCGATAGTCATCGCAGTCGTCATTTTTTATGTGGTGTTGTGTTGTACTTGTTTTCGTTGTTATTCTTATGACTTCCAGCATTACAACTATTTATTGTTATTAATTTTTTGTAGCTGTTGTTCTTACTGCTAGATGTTGTTTACACACTCGTTTAATGCATATCGTAAGGAAAACTTTTAAACTATTGATGTTATCGTCTTATATCTTTTGATTGATTGTGCCTTGCGTTGCGTTAAAGCGCTTAACATTTTCTTGAAATGACTTAATTGCATCCCTACCGACGGTACATGTTTATATAATAAGCAAGACTTTTAAGGCAATAGAACTTAGTGTTTACGAAAAACATTTTATTTATATAGCTTAAGGGGCATAAAAATAATTTACGAAATAAATAAATCACATAAATGGAAGTGATGAAAGGACATTGTTTTTTTTTTTTTTTTGTTATTTACGTGAGACCTTATCGCAAATGAATGAGAAGATTATGAGGAGATAAGGTAATTTTTGAAATTTCCCAAAATCATACATCGTTACCACTGTTGGGCAAAACCGACTTTCCCTACCTTTTATACGACGATATACTCTCCAATATAGACCACAAAATAAAATATGGTGAAGATCGGCAATATTCTTTGGGATTAAAACTCCGAGTACAGGATTTGGCAAAACATCTTTGACACGTTTGAACATTTACAACTTCACTTGCCCATAAATTTTTATAAGCAATTGAGGCGCTGTTTCCTTCCTGAAACTCATACCAAATGCGTTAACCGCGGCTTTATGCACTACGCTTCATTTCTTCTGCATTTCGTTACGAACTGATGAGGGGTCATCTTATATCCTATGAGAGATACCCCAAATAACACGACGAGTAATATGACGGAACTTGCCCCTCCAATATTTTACATGTATATATAAATAGAAAAATGGAATTTCACTTCTATGCAACATAATAGCAATAGAAAATAATGTAGAGTTTAACAAATGAAAAAACACATTTAACAACTCGACAATTATTTTTCCAATTTACCTACACACTACAGATTTCATTTAGAGATTTATGTTTCAGTGCCGTAGAATAACTTCTCCTTTAATTTGCCAGAATTCGAAGTTCGCTCATTTACTTAGTCAGTGCACAATTACTTGATATTAAAAAATATTACATTTGTCTATGAAATTTACCCTCTTAAAGGACCCAAAACGGTACACATTTCCCACGTTTACGTCTTTGGACTTACAAAACGTCTAACAATCTTATACAACATCAATCATTTTTGCTAAATTCTTTAATTTTAACTTTAATTCTTCTCGGACTTCACCGCATCAAGTAAATGATTGTGCGTGTATTCCACGAAAAATTATCCACAATGATAGAGTATCACAATAAATAAAGTATGCAAGTGTATGCCGCGTCCGAACGGGCTCCCGCCTTATATTCTCAAAAACTTTGCAATAGACTATCATTGTTATTTTAAGAGCGGTAACACACATCTCATCTTGTTGTAAACTGTGGTTGCGGCGGAAAAAACTTAGTATGCTACCCAAACTATTTGAACGTATTATGTAGTCCC